CTCCAGATTCTGTTTTTAAGACAGGGTCTTGCTCTGTTGCCGAGGCTGTAGTGCAGTGGTGTGATCATGGCTCACTGCAGCCTTGACCTCCTGGGCTCAAGTGATCCTCCTGCCTCAGCCTCCCAAGTAGCTAGGAGTACAAGCATGCATCACCACACCCAGCTGTAACTCTGGTTTTCTTACCTCTTCTTCTGTCATCTTCTCAGGGACTGCCTATTTATACAATGAATGTGGTCCCCTGACTAATGCCATCACCTGGGACAAGTTTTCAGACCCTGGGTCTTCTGAGCCTAAACCTCTGCAGGGTGGGCTCCTCAGTCTGTTTTGGCAAAACCTTAGGGGCTTCTGATGGCCCGTGCTGGATTGCGCCATTGATGTTACTTTTAAACACCTTTCCTGCTCTTGGGGCCCGAGGCACCTGCTCTGGCCACGTAGCACCTGGGCTTCATCCCAAGCCTGCCTGGCTTCTCTCTGCCCCCTCAGAATCTTCAGGGGACCCACACTGGTTGAGGCCAATGTCTACAGCCATGAGAACAAGTGGCTGACCCTCTCCCTGCCCTCCCACTGAGAAGGGGGCCTTGCCCTGAGGACCAGACATTCGGCTCCACGACTCTGCTCCTCCTGTGACAGACTCTGATGGCCTTGGGCCAGCTATATTAGCATCTCCTAACTGAACTATCCCTCCTTTGACCCCCCATTTTTCTGTTAAATGCGCCCCTGGCTGGCTTTTTCCTCTGTCTTCAGCCTATGTCACTGTTCTCTGATGTCAGGGGCGCTCCTCGCCTGATGCTCGCCTCTTGGGTTCTGTGTTGTCCTGAGGCCACCGCCCCCCTTCTAGATCTTAACACTAAATCCTAACTTAGGCCTTGTTCTTGGTTTTCTCATTTTCATCACCCCAAATCATCTTGAACCTGTCAGCAACTTCCAGGCTGTACCTCTGCCATTCCTTTTCTCATCACTGATGAGGCTGCAGGGCTGAGCCCTTTGTCTCCCTGGATGTCAGGTAGCACCTCATCTGCCTCCCTGTCCACTGCCATAGGCTGTTCGATGACTGCTGGAGGCCTGTCTGCCCCTTGTCACCCTGCTGCACACCAGCCCCTGGCCTTTCATCGTGCTGAGAACAAGGACTGCAACCTGGCTCGCTCCACTGCCTCTCCAGCCGCTCTGCTTGTGACTGGGCTCTAGAGTGACTTCTGACGCCCGCCATGCCTCCTGCCAGGCACTGCCCTCAGTGAGGCCTGGTCCAGCCTGGCAGTAACTCGCTTGTAAGAGGCTCAGACACCAAGCTGGGCCTGCACAGGAGGGGTGCAGTAGGACAGTGACCACCCAGGGGTCTACACACCTGTAGGCCTGAGCCAGTGCCTGAGGTATGTGTGAGGGTGGAGGGCAGGGAGGGAGAAGGAGGTTTGGAAGGGCCCTGACTCTATTCTCTGGCCACACTCAAATCCCCGATGGTGGGGGCAGAGAGGTATGACCAGGCCGCCCTTGGCTCCAGAGCTCCAAGACCCCAAGACAGCCCTCTGCTCTCGGTGGCACCACAGAGAGCCTGAGCTCAGCCTTCTGGATCAGGTCATGGCCTCATCCACTGAGGGGACAATTTAAACATTTGACATCAGAAGCTTTATTCGTAAACCTCACACAGATAAGGACCAAGGGCTGGCAGTGTGGCCAGAGGACAGAGGAGGCTGAAGGCCCCATGCTTGGGCTCGGCAGTTTTGCTCCATGAAGCTGCCGTGGGTGACCTTTCAGTCTCACCAGTGGTCTGCAGGTGCAGGAAGGGCTTCAGGGCTGTCTGCCCCTGGGGCAGAGGATAGGCCCCCAAGGACCTTTGGGCAAGCGAGGGTTTACATTTCTGTAGTTTTAGAGCTTAATTTGTAGTTTTCTAGATATTAAAACCACTTGGATTTTTGGGAAGATTCTTATTTCTGATTCTATTATCTGACAGATACCATAAAGAATAAGCATTAAGGTATAAAAATACTGTGTATAAAACACTAAACCACATTCCTAAAGCAAATGGAGTGTGTCAGACATACTAGTGTTTCATTTAAATCCATTTATAACCCTGACATCACCTCCCTGTTCTCAAGGAGGATTTTAAAGTCCCAGATGCTATTGTTTAGGAATGTAAGATGGTGGTGGATATGGTCTTATGAATAGCACTTCCCCTGAAGCCAGCTCATGGTCAGTTCATTTGGTTTAAAAAGGAGCTTGTATTTTGCAGAAGACCAACAAAAAAAGTGATAAAAGTTTTGTTGGTATATGTTACAAAAAAAAAAAGTCATAAGACTACCAGTAAAAAATGTTCAATCAATCAATCAGTGCCATCACAAAAGACAATACAAAAACCAAAGTGCTCAAATAGAAGGAGCAGTAAACTCGCCCAAAACATAGAAAAGCTTTAAATAGAATTTTAGTATATACAAAAATCGGTTGGAAGAGTTTTAGAAGATTCTTCAATGTAAGTGAAGCATCTTGAGTCACTCAGGACCTTGCTGTCCTCACACTGGCACGAGCCCCCCAACTGTTTCCCTAGTCCCCGAGGCATCTGAGGCTGGGTTCCCACATGGGAAAGGAATGAAGACTCGAAGGGAAGGGTCAGTTTAAGCTAAGTTTTCAGTGAACTCCTTCCTCTGGCTGGGAAGGTGTCTTTCAGCCTCTTAGTCTCAAAACAATGGACTGAAGCCACAGGTGTTGCTAACTTCATGTGCCAGCTCATGGGTGGAGCCTCTTCAAGGCTTGAGACCATGGCAGTGAGACCCGGCAGCCTGCAGTGACTCCCAGGTTCTGGATGGCTGCACGCGAGCTCAGGAGGACAGGGATGTGCTGGGCCAGCCTAAACACGCTGGGGAGGCTAGCGCAGGGAGAAAGCAGCTTGCAGGGCCACAGCACGATGTGGAGGCTTACGAGACAGTATAAGGATTACCTTCCTAAATGGAAGATGTGCTTTAAAGGAACTGCCTCTGGCTCCTGCCGAGTTGACACATCTCAGGGCTATGCCCACCAGGGCAGTGGCATTTCCCACATTCCAAGGCTTTGAGGCTTGGGCAAAGAGATAGTACCCAAAGGCATGCTGTATGTGGGCAATGAACTTGAGTGGGCACAGTCCAATGCCTGCCTGGGCCACAGGTCTGGGTTTAGGAGGGGCTACAGTCGGGGCAGGTGTGAAACTGGGCAGGAGGTTCTTGTCTACCAGCTCACACTCTTGCCCTTAGACTAGCTTTGTCTGAAGGCAGCTTCAGAGCCACTTGCCAGGTTGAGAAATGTCCAGGCTTAGTGCTCTCTTAGCTGCTGCTCCTCTGCCTCCCGCAGCCCCCTGCGTGCCCTCTGCTCTGAGACAAGTTACTAAATGTTGAAAACCAAATTTATCTGGGAGTGGCTTTTGGCCTCCATCCTTTGCAAAGTGACCTAAACCCTTTATGGGGTACCCACTCCCAGTGGAGGGCAGGTGGATGGACTGGAATTTATAATAAACTATGTGGCAGAAACACAGGCCTTAGGAAATTCCACAGGCCCCTCTATCAGTTTATGTGACATGGGACAGCATCAGGCAGGGAGGGGTGATGTGTCCAGCAGGCCAGCCGTCTGCATGCACAAAGGCTAAACTTGTCATTTTAACCTTTCCTGAGCGAATTTTAAAATATTCTGGCAAATCTCAAGTTTTGAAGTTTTTCCTGTGGGTTCTGGACTCTTTCATATGCAAAAATAATTCTTTTTCTTCAAGTACATCCAGGGTAGAAAATTAAATGTGACTTTTACTCGGTCCAGTGGGTTACTTTAATGACATGGACCAGCCACTCAGTAACTGCCTGATACCTAAGCTGCTTCACCACTGAGGGCTCAACCCCCAGTACCAGACCCTGTGAGGCTGTCCCCTCAGTAACGGCACCTCTGTAGCCCCCCGGGACAGCCTTCTCTAAGAACTAGCTCACCTGCTTTCTAGATAAGGAATCTATTGGCATAAATAAGATGTTCCACTAGACATATTTCTCTATAGTGTATCTAAAATGTCAGTGGAGGCCTCTGGAAGATTCTTAAATGAACACTGTACTTTTAACAATTCATTTGCAAGAGGAATAGCCAATTTGAAGTTCTGTGAATTTAAGAAAAAAAAGCAGGGTGGAGGGTGGGCTTACAATACCTTTTCTCTAAAAAAGGAAAAAAGGTAAGACTTGCTATCTAGAGAGAACCTGTCCCGATGGTCTTCAAAGACTCAGTTTGGTTTCCTACTGAACCTAAAAAAAGCAGATCCCAACTATATTGAAGACAAAGGTAAAAGGAAGGTATTAACTAGGCGGATAGTCATCAGTTGGTTAATTCTTTCTCTAGAACTTGAAAAAGCTCATTGAAAATTTTCAGAAACAACCGTGTACACGAAGAGAACAGATCAGATGGGACACCTTACCCACAGAAATGGCTGAGAGTGTCAACAGCTATGCGCAACTAGCCTTTGAGGTCAGAGGGCAAGAAAGGCTGTCAGATCCTCCTAAGTTTCCATTACATTCAGTTTCTTTCACAAAATAGCATTCGAAGGAGAAGGAAAAGTTCTCACTTTACTCCCAGCCATTGTCTTTGATCATGTGAGCAAGCTCAATGATGAATTTTCCTTCCTTGTATTTCTGACTGCTCTCAAAGGCATGTTCCTTGAAAAACAAGAGACAAAGGTTTCAAGACAGAAGTTTTCACTTTCAATTTCATCACTCTTTGGGCAAAAAAACCAAAACAACAACAAAACCCAAGTGTGTACTATTAACTATACCCAGATGTTCCCTGAGCCATTACTCACCCAGCGCCGGGAGGGTCTGTTCCAGGGGAGAAGTCCCTTGAGGCAGTGTAGGGTTACTTTGCATTTGTTGTTAAAAGGTTTTCATGTGCTTGCTTGGGCAGCACATATGCTAAAAGGTTTTCCGTTCCTTTGTTTTGAGATAGGGTCTCACTCTGTTGCCCAGGCTGGAGTGCAGTGGTGTAGGGTCATAGCTCACTGCAGCCTTGACCTCCAGGGCTCAAGTGATTCCTCCTCAGCCTCCCAAAGTGCTGGGATTACTTGTAGGACACTGTGAGTGCAGATCTGTTTACTGGACATTTACTACCTGTGGGGTAAGAGGCTTGAAGATATGCAGAGGACTACACTCCAGGAATTCCGTGCATAACTAGAGTGAAGGCAAGTACAGGGACAGCCAAAGACATCTGGGGCCTGGGCACAGTGGTGCACACCTGTAATCCCAGCACTTTGGGGGGCCAGGACAGGAGTTTGAGACAAGCTTACACAACATAGTTTGATTTTCTTCTACAAAAATAAAAAAATAAATTGGCTAAGTTTGGTGTGCCAATTGTCCAGCTACTTGGGAGGGTGAGGTAGGAGGACCACTTGAGACCAGAAGGCCGAAGCTGCAATGAGCTGAGATTGACCAAGACTCTCAAAAAAATTCAGGGTATCTGGAGAAGGCCCTTCTTTTTTTTTTTTTTTTGGGGGGGACGGAGTTTCGCTCTTGTTACCCAGGCTGGAGTGCAATGGCGCGATCTTGGCTCACCGCAACCTCCGTCTCCTGGGTTCAGGCAATTCTCCTGCCTCAGCCTCCTGAGTAGCTGGGACGCGCCACCATGCCCAGCTAATTTTTTGTATTTTTAGTAGAGACGGGGTTTCACCGTGTTGACCAGGATGGTCTCGATCTCTTGACCTCGTGATCCACCCGCCTCGGCCTCCCAAAGTGCTGGGATTACAGGCTGGAGCCACCGCGCCCGGCCCGAGAAGGCCCTTCTTGGGGAAGAGTTCTTTCTCCCACAAACATATCCTCATCATTTTGTTATGCCGAGTGTGGCCTGGTGCCAGGGACACAGACGACCAAGACAGGTCCTGCCAACCCAAGCGGCAGCCCCAGGTGTGGCAGACACAGGAGGGCCTGTGCCAGCAGGAAGCAGTGGGTGCAGCTGTGGCAGGAATGCAGTGTGGTGGCCATGCAGGAAAGGCAGGGGTTTCTGGAAGTGGGACCCACAAATGGGTATGGGACTGACCAGGGGGAAGGGCTGGGATGCGTGCCTATCTCATGGAACCTGCTTCCATGGTACGAACTGTGGTCTCCCACAACTCACAAGGAATCTGGGAGACCAGAGATGATCAGAA